ATGTTTTATATCTATTTATGTCTTGTGGAGTTATTAACTGAACTGTCATGTCATCTTCATTCATAGTTAAATTTTCTTCTGTAGTTTTAACAGTTTGGATAAAACCTAATTCTTCAAAAGTTTCTAATTCATATATAAATTTAGGGTTGATACTAGGAATTGTCCATTTATTAAGAAGGTCTAAATTCTTTGGGACTTCATATTCTTCTATTAACTGATTTTTAATCACCTGCTTATTACTATTTTGAATCTACTCTACTGAATATACTCATGAAGAGTAAAATAAATGAGGTAACATCACATAGTATTCCATGGCTCTGATACCAAAATCAAGCAGGACCATAAAAATCAAGCAGGACCATAAACAGATAACAAGATTTTTAGAACTTTGAAAAATAAAAACAAAAAGAGTTGGGTGAGATAGGCGAGTCAATGAGTAAAACGCCCTAAAACGGCACAGTGGCCACAAAAGCGGGCTAAAACACGACTTTGCTTTTTTCCATTCCAGACTCTTTTTTTTTCAATGAACATGTACAGTTGAATTAGAATGCTGATGAAAAAAATGTTTTTATAGTTCTAAATGATGTGAACTTTTAAAAAAGAAGCAAAAGTAGCTGAAAAGAAGAGGCTTCAAGCCTTTAATCCACCTGTTTCGCTACACCGGCACAAGGCACACCGTTTCATTTGGGTGAACCTGGAACATATGCGATTAATACGGCAATGATATATTATTGATATACTATTATTGCTTTTATATAACTAAAATGGTTATATATTAATAAATCCAAATTATTTTTCAATTTCATCTTGCAAGTTTAAAGATTTAAATTTCATGAAAGAATCTCATTTAAGAGTATCTTGACAAAATTTGTTGTTATATTTTAATACTAACTACACGTAGTTAAAGACAAATAATGACAGCTAAGTGTATATATATATATATATATATATATATATATATATATATATATATATAATATATATATATATATATATATATATTATATATATATATATATATACCATTATTAATCAAGGAACCAAAGAACCAATCCAAAACGTCGGAATTTAAAGCGATCAACGGCAAAAAGAAGGGTTGTAAAATTTTATAATGGACACACATATACCGGATTACCCCCTCCGTCCCAAAATTATTGTCTACCTTACTATTTTAGTTTGTCCCAAAATTATTGTCCACTAACAAAAGTAGATATAAACTTTTACCATATTACCCCTAGCATTTAATAAAGTAAACTTGAATAATTACAAATGCATATTTCCCATTGGTTTTAGAAAAGGGCAAGAGGGTCATTTTACTCAAAAAGACAAAACTAATGATTGCTTTTCTTAATCTATGTGTTTTTTGTCTGTGGACAATAATTTTGGGACGGAGGGAGTATATATTAAAACTCACTTCATTTTTTTCATTTAAAATTTTTTTTAGGCCAAGTTTTTTATCGAAAAAAAAACCGAATATACCGTTGTTCACGATTTTTCGTCCTCTTTCCATAGAGATCCATGATGATATATAAAAAACGAACTTTTTTTTTTCGAAAAAAACCCACTTAATTTTCTTAGTTTTTTCAATATTTAAGTTTATTTTTATCAAAAAAAACTAATTATACCAAAAATATTAATTTTTTGTACTCTATTAATAAACATCAACATCAATTAAAAAAAAAAATAAAAAAAACCTCGAACAGTGTAGATTCACACTGTGAATCTAAACTGTAAATATTTCAATTTTTAACATTCACAATATGAAAAATCTCGAACAGTTCAGATTCACATTGTGAATCTGAATTACTATTATGCACACTGTGAATTTGAGAATATTCACAAAAAAAAAACATCGATCAGTATAGATTCACACTGTGAATCTAAACTGTAAATATTTCAAATTTTAACATTCACAATGTGAAAAAATTCCGATCAGTTCAGATTCACACTGTGAATCTGAGTTATTATTATGCACACTGTGAATCTGAGGAGGTTCACAATGTGAATCTGAACAGGTTTACAATATGAATCTGAACTGAAATATCATTTTTTTTTAAACATGAATATGAATCTATGTTTAAAAAGTACAAAAAAATATGAATTTTGATATATTTATTAATTTTTTTCTATAAAAAATAGACCTTAACTTTTTTAATCAAAGAAAATGAAGTGAGTTTTTTTCGAAAAAAAAAAAGTTCGTTTTTATATTCATCATGGATCTCTATGGAAATAGGACGAAAAATCGTGAACAACGGTATATTTGGTTTTTTTTTTTTTGATAAAAAACATGGCCTAAAAAAAATTTTAAACGAAAAAAAGTGGTAAGTTTTTTTGTAAAGGGTGGATTTTTTGGTATAATCCGTTGTGTGTGCGTCCAATGTAAAAGTGTACATCTATTTCCTTACCTGTTGATCGTTATGATTTCCGACGCTCATGATTGGTTCATTGGTTCCTTGGTTAATTATGATTCTCTATTGAACCTCACCCTATATATATATATATATATATATATATATATATATATATATATATATATATATATATATATAATATATATATATATATAGATATATATATATATAGGTTTAGGTTCTATGGAAAACAAAAAACCCTAAAAATCATTAAAATGCATAAAAAAAATACTTAGAGATCACATAACTTTTTTTTGAATTTTTTTATCAAAAAATCGCAACTTTTAGGTCAAAATCGTTGAAATTTTTTTTTTGAAAAAAATTGATTTTTTTACAAAAAAAAAAAAAAAATTGATTTTATATTTTTTTTCAGCGAAATTGTAAAAAATGCTACGATTTTTTGATAAAAAAAAATTCAAAAAAGAGTTTTGTGATGTCTTGGTATTTTTTTTTATGAATTTTTATGATTTTTAGGGTTTTTTTGTTTTCCAAATAACCCTTCCCTATATTATTATTATTATTATTATTATTATTATTATTATTATTATTATTAGGTTCGATTATGGTTTGTAAAAACGTCCCAAATATATAAGGTAAAAATTCATTTTTCCAACAACCAAAAATCATCCATTCAGTCATTCAAAAGATAATCAGAGTATAATATATTCTCAAAACATTAGAGTAAAGTTATAAAATAAATAATGCGGAAAACTCTAGGGGATGCAATGCGATCAAGCCGGACTTCCATTTATAGAACAGAAACACCTAAAACATTTAAACAGAAAACCGTAATCACAAAGCTTAGTGAGTTCCCCAAAATACCACATACCAATACGGGCTCCGCCCAACATACATAGCGATCCCCGCTCAACACACATGCAAGAGTCACAAGGACAACCATGTCAAAAAGTCAACGACTATGGTTAACATGCCGTTGCCAACTGCTGCCCACATCGTGGCTATTCCCAATAAAACAGTCGCGACCGACTTTGCCACCATGTCGTGGCAAGCATGTCACCATGTCGTGGCAGCAACACGACAAAACAACCGTAGGAACCCCCTCACTACATCGTGGTGAGCAACATGTTGTGTTGTGATTTATGATTGGAGACAACTTAATAGATTAAACTCTAAATTCGTTAAGTCCTTTGTTCAAACTTTCAAGAAAGCTTCTTGGGACCCTAAATGTTCATAAAAATCCAAACTTTGTGGACATGCATGACCCATGCATGTCCTCCACTCAAACTAGGTCAAAAGGTAAGAAAATGACCTAAATCTCATGTATGGCTTTCAAAACATTTTCAACTTTTAGATCCATAAGATATAATACTTTAGGGGAGCTTGATGAGTGATAAAGTTGCTAACTTTGTCAGACCCATTCATTCCAACTTCCACACTGGACCATAATACTCTAACTTTCCTAGATCTACTAGAAATAAACCAAAAAAGATCAAGCCTTGAGGACTTACAATGGTCCAAAAGATGATCATAAAGGTGGAGATGGGTTGCTTGATGGATCCTTGCATTAGAAAACTTCTTTTTCTTCCTTCAAAGGTAACCAAATCACCAAAATGAGCTCAAAAGGCTTTGAAAGGAGGCTAGGATTTGATCTTATACACATAGAAGAGTGATGGATGCTAAGGATGGACAAATCCTACATATCACATCCTTTAAATAGAGCTCAAGGCCCAAAATCTAGGGTTTTGAACCCTATCGTCACCACGTCATGACCAATACATGACTACGTCGTGACGACTTAATGAAATACGCGATTCATGCTGCTCTGCCACGTCGTGGTGATCCTTCTTCACCAGGCCGTGGCCACCCAAAAACTTGCAAGATTAAAACATAAAAATTCATACTTGAAATCAGGTGTTATAGTTTGCTTAAATGTTTTAAAACGCTTTAATAATAATCTAAATTACTACAGGTGACAAACAAAATAATTAAATTTAAATTCAAATAATATGTGAGATGATAATTTTAGTCGTTTATCTGTTAGCTTTCATAATCATCACAATTTATCAAATACTAACAATTTATTATTTAATTGTTACATTTTTATGCAAATATAAACATATATAACAATTATCTTTTACAACTTTTTTTTTTGCTATAGTTAATTATCTGTTCCTAAATATCATCACATAATCAATTTTACAACATATACTGAACACCCATTAACTAAACAATTAAAATACAAAAATTTAAATTTAAATTCAAATAATATGCAAGGATGATAATTTTTTCTGTCTTTTATGTATCAGCTTTCATAATAATCACAATTTATCAAATACATAAACGATTTATTATTTATTTATGCAACATAAACATATATAAAGATTATCTTTTACAATTTTTTTTATAGGTAGTTATCTGTTCCTAAAAATTAAGTATTACATAATCAATTTTGCAACATATATTCAACAGATAATAATTAAAATCAGAATCTGTTTATCTAAACATTAAAAAAATTTAAATGATCGTAATCATAATATCAAAAAGAATTCAATACTCAACTCCAACACCCTCTTAACCCCTCTTGTCACGTGAGATCAGCAGTCTTCATCTGCTACTTCTCCACCTTCGTATATATCTCCCCTTCTCCGTAAATTCTGTTTTAGATTCATAAAAAACCACAAGCCCTACTTCCCTCTTCTTCTCATCCTCCTCCTGCTGTGATATCTCATTATCCACAGATTCCTACACTGTAATCGAAATCCATTGATCCAGTTGAAGAGGCTAACGTCAGGGGAGATAGAGTGAGTGGGATCATTATTATACACAGAGAGAATTGCTTCTGTATGTCAGTAGATTGTACACACTGCAATTACTACGGTGGATTTGGTGAGCTTGCTAACCCCCTACAATGGCCTCAACTTCGCAAAAGGCGCCGCATTCTACCGATGATTCACTTCCGATCCACCGTCAGGCGGTTTCCGCTGACGTCGTTGTTGTTGAGAACTGGCGCAACAACGATCAGAAGATGCCGATCAAGAATACATCAATCGCTTCCTTGATCAATACTACCGATCCTTCCGCTTCCACTAAAGGTATTTTATATCTCTGTTTGCATTGATGTTTATGTCGATTCTTATATATTCGGCATTTAGAAAAATTTATATGCGTATTTAGGGATTTATCTCTAGTTTTTGTTGCATGTGCTTGTATATGCGTATATGTATAGTAATACCGATACATCTATCTTTACGGATATTACCGTATGTGTAGTTTCTCGATAGATGTACACAACTGTGAATATCGTTGTATGAGCGTATTAGACAATATCACTTCAAGTTTTGGTACCTGCTAATGAAAAATTGGCTGTCGATATTTTCTATTGTTGATTCGGGACCTTTTTTTATGGTATCCGAATTGTCTTTTCCGAATCGTTAAGGTAAACCTTATGTCAGTCAATCTGTTTATAGAAAGAGTTAAATCCTTGTGTTGATGGAAGGTATAAGAATCGATGTCTGTGTTAGAGAGAAGAACGATGGTTGTAGATTAGCTCGGTATTTAAGAGCTACATTTTACAAGACGGTGAATCTGGGAGCTGTGGCTTATCTAGGAATTCCTTATACCCCTAACTACATATGCGAAGAGATCAGATCATCAGATAAGACAACCGATGTTGCTCATTATAGTTGCCTAGTTACTTAGTAACCCATGTGTCTTGATTTTAGCTGTCATAGTGAAAGTCGTTTATAATCAACATTACTGTACTATCTTATATGGTCACTTGCAGTTTGACAAATTTATGCTCAACTCTTACAGGAATCCAAATCCTCACAAGGGCTCAAACTAGCCATCCATTGGACCCGTTATCTGCTGCTGAAATCAAAGTAGCAGTAGCAACTGTCAGGGCAGCTGGAGCGACACCTGAGGTATTAATTGGATTATATGCTGTTAACACTTGAATCATCTTAATCATGATGAATGATGACATACTAATTGTGTGTTTGAATTTTCTTTCTCAGGTCAGAGATGGTATGCGGTTTGTGGAGGTGGTTCTTTCAGAACCAGATAAAAGTGTTGTTGCACTTGCAGATGCATATTTCTTTCCACCATTCCAACCTTCTTTACTACCCAGAAGCAAAGGTGGTGCTGTAATACCTAGTAAGCTTCCCCCAAGGCGAGCTAGGCTTGTTGTCTACAATAAAAAATCAAACGAAACAAGCATATGGATTGTTGAACTATCCGAAGTACATGCAACAACTCGTGGTGGACATCATAGAGGGAAAGTCGTTTCTTCAAGAACAATTCAAGATGTTCAGCCTCCCATGGTACTCTACTCCCCATTCTTTTTCTTATATATATATCGAAAAAAAAAATAAAAAAAGATTTAACTTTACTGACACCCTCATGATTATCCATCACAGGATGCTGTTGAATATGCTGAATGCGAAGCTGTTGTGAAAGAGTACTTTCCTTTTCAAGAAGCTATGAAGAAGAGGGGTATTGAAGATATGGATCTTGTGATGGTTGATGCTTGGTGTGTTGGTTATCATAGTGAAGCAGATGCCCCTAGCAGAAGATTAGCAAAACCACTTATCTTCTGTAGGACTGAAAGTGATAGCCCAATGGAAAACGGATACGCCCGACCCGTTGAAGGAATCTATATTCTAGTTGACATGCAAAACATGGTTGTCATTGACTTTGAAGACCGAAAACTTGTCCCATTGCCACCTGCTGATCCTTTAAGAAACTACACTCCTGCTCATACACGAGGTGGTGTTGACCGAAGTGATGTAAAGCCCCTACAAATTCTTCAGCCCGATGGGCCCAGCTTTCGTGTTAATGGGCAATATGTGGAATGGCAAAAGGTAGTGATGTGGCATCTTAATTTTTTATATTAGTAAAACATATATGTTAAAAAGGACTTTTTTTTTTTTTTTTTTTTTTTTTTTTGTTGACAGTGGAACTTTCGTATTGGGTTTACTCCAAGGGAGGGATTAGTGATACACTCGGTTGCATATGTTGATGGAAGCCGAGGTAGAAGACCAATTGCTCATAGATTGAGCTTTGTTGAAATGGTTGTTCCTTATGGTGATCCAAACGATCCACATTACAGAAAGAACGCGTTTGATGCAGGTGAAGATGGTCTTGGAAAAAATGCTCATTCTCTTAAAAAGGTTTGCTCATTTATGTTTTTAAATTTGAGGTAACTGTAACTGTAACGTGTGAGTATGCTTAAACAGTATTGTTTTTTTTATAGGGATGTGACTGCCTAGGTTATATCAAGTACTTTGATGCACATTTTACAAACTTCACTGGAGGTGTTGAAACAATTGAAAATTGTGTATGTATGCATGAAGAGGATCATGGAATCCTGTGGAAGCATCAAGACTGGAGAACTGGCTTAGCGGAAGTACGAAGATCTCGGCGTCTTACAGTGTCATTTATATGTACTGTTGCCAATTACGAATATGGTTTCTATTGGCACTTTTACCAGGTGAGTTAGTTATATTTATATTTTACATAATTTCAAAACCTAATTATGAATTTTCAGTTATTTAAATGATGGTGTATGGTTTTGTTTGCAGGATGGAAAGATTGAAGCTGAAGTTAAACTTACGGGGATTTTGAGTTTAGGGGCATTGCAGCCTGGGGAAGTTAGAAAATATGGGACAACAATTGCACCAGGGTTGTATGCGCCAGTTCATCAACACTTTTTTGTTGCTCGTATGGATATGGCTGTTGATTGCAAGCCTGGAGAAGCATATAACCAGGTATATACTGTGATTTTGAAGATTGTGCATCATTACTACTTTCCAGTCTGTTAGGTGTTCTTTAGTTGTTTAATTGTACATAACATATTTAAAAAAATGTTTGAATGATTCATTCAAAGTTCAAACCAACCAAACAGGATAATGGAACGTAATGATCCATTCCATTTGTTTGTGAATCCGCTCCACCTTACCAAAACAGACCCTTATTGTGTTGTTTTGTTTGTTCACTTCAGGTTGTTGAAGTTAATGTGAAAGTTGAAGAATCTGGGAAAGATAACGTCCATAATAATGCATTCTACACTGAAGAAACTTTACTTAAAACTGAAAATCAAGCTATGCGTGATTGCAATCAGTTATCTGCTCGTCATTGGATTGTAAGCATCTTTTCCCTTTTAAAAGAATTATATATATAAAAATCTTTTTGTAGATTATTGGTGAAATGTGTATGTGTATGTGTATGTATAGATTAGAAACACTCGGACTGTGAATAGGACGGGGCAGCTGACAGGGTATAAGCTGGTACCGGGTTCAAATTGCTTGCCATTAGCAGGTTCAGAGGCTAAGTTTTTGAGAAGGGCTGAATTTCTTAAACATAATCTTTGGGTTACACCGTATGCACTTGATGAGAATTTTCCTGGAGGAGAGTTTCCTAATCAGAATCCACGTGTCGGTGAAGGCTTAGCCTCATGGGTCAAGCAAAATCGTTCTCTTGAGGAAACTGATATCGTACTTTGGTCAGTAAACATATAATTATTTATTTATTTATTTCCTTTGAATTTGATCTGACCTTCACCATCACCATCACCATCACCATCCTACGTGTGCAGGTATGTATTTGGGATCACTCATGTTCCTAGGTTAGAAGACTGGCCTGTTATGCCAGTGGAACACATTGGTTTTATGCTTCAGGTAATCATCTACTTATTATAACTTATCTCAATCAATCAATATCATAATCCCTTTATGAGTACTTTTTTTTTTTTTTTACCCAAGATTCCCACGTAATCCCTCTGACCCTGACCCTGACCATGGTCCCTCTCCCTGTCACTGCTACCCTACCAACAACTGTGGGTGCATCCATCCAACAATCAAACAAATTTCTTATTTGCTAATTTATTTTTTTCTAAATACAAAATAAATATCTTTGGATGCAGCCACATGGATTCTTCAACTGCTCACCGGCGGTTGATGTCCCTCCAGGAGCGTGTGAGATGGATGTGAAAGACAATGAAGCTAAAGAAGGCGTTGGCGTTGCAACTAAGTCTGTTTCAAATGCTTTGATTGCCAAGCTTTGATGTATTGTAGTTCAAGTTTGTATGACCTATTATATTATACTTTGGTTGGTTGTGCTATGAATTTGACCCAGTCTCCACTTCAATTCATTTCATATGTTTCCTTTGGTACGTACTATCATTTTTTGTTTAAGATAAGTTTGGACTGGACTGGAGGACCACGACCGATGAAATTCAAAGCTGGTTCATAAGTGTAGTTAGTCATCACGTGTCACACTGGACTTTTTGGTCATATATCCGACACCTCACAATTGCTATTAGGTATCACTCTCTTTATATCTTCAAAATATCTAATTATATATCATAATAATATGGCCCACTATATGCCACTATAGGAAAAGCATATGCTCCTTTACCCTACTTTTTTTTTTACTTGTTGCTTAAGGTCAATCGTTTTAAAAGTAGTCCCTTGGTTTTAGACTAGTCCACTAAACAATCATCATTCTTTTTTTTTTTTTTAATTATTATTTAAGCGTAAAATATCCGTATCGTTTTACTTTGTCATATTATAGGATTTTTTTTTGGCTACTTCGTCTCTTTTTTTGGCTACTTCTTTTTCTTTTTCTCTTTGTAGTGATATTGGTTGCTTTAAAAATCACTTTTAAATTTACATCTGCTTTGTTTGCTATCTGATATAATATACATGTGATATAGATTTAGTTTTTTGTTTGATTTTAGTTGTGGGTGGTTGACGTGGTTGGTTTTATATATATAGACTAGAGACTAGAGATACGACAATTAACCAACATAGATAGCTAAACCCATTAATGTCTAGGTTTGACGGACTGGACGGAGTCTCGTTTACACTGCAAAATCATCTTCACATTCAATCAAAATTATTGGTTTTGGCCACAGAAAGGTTATGTGAAAGTAGAAATTTCTTACGTGTGAGTGTGTTGGAAAAACACATCACTTATCACTTATTCTCTCTCCTCTTCACAACCACAACCATAAAATATTTCCCTAGTCGTATTCGTAAACAGTCGAACTAGTCTAGTTGTAGTCATCCTCATACTACCTCCGCCCCTGCTACAATAATGTCAAACACTACTTAATCCCCACCGTGACACCGTCTGTCCTCCCGCCCACCGCCATGGCCCAACACCACAAATCCATCCAACAACAACTCTCCCTCCAAATTCTACTAGCTGACAGACTCGTCAAATCCGTTAAAGACCTTCAACCTTCAAAGCTCGACTGTTCCGACCTCGCTACACTCGCCGCCCAACTCGCTCACCTCCTCCGTTCCACCGCTCGACTCGTTACCTCCTCCTCCACCACATTTTACGACCGCCCTCTCCGCTCCATCTTCTCCAATCTCTCCTTGAATCTTGAACGAGCCCAGACGCTTGTTCGCAAGTGTAAGCAACGAAGCGGCATCCTCCGTCAGGTCTTTGCTATCACCACCGCTGCGGATGTCCGGAAAGTGTCGAGTCTTCTGGAGTCTTCCATCGCCGATATCAAATGGCTCCTTTCCGTTTTTGTTCCGGATGACAACGCCGGTGTAAACCCTTCCCTCCCTCCCATTGCCAGCAACGACCCTGTACTCGCCTGGGTTTGGTCCAACATTGCCACCGTCCACCATTCCACGCAACTCAAAGACCGAGTCGACGCTGCAAATTCCCTCGGATCATTAGCCGGTGACAACGACCGGAACAAGAAGATGATCATTGACGAAGACGGAATCCCGCCGCTTCTTAAACTACTAAAAGAAGGAGCGTCACCGGAGTCCCAAATTGCCGCCGCTGCCACGCTCCACGCTTTAGCAACCGATGGAGAAAAAATCTCCGCTTTTGTTCGATCCATGGCTATTCCCACCATTGTTCAAGTTCTTAACGATTCCACATCCGTAGTTGTTCGAACAAATGTGATCAATCTGTTGTCAAAACTGGCAGAAATTGATCCATGCGTACAGGAGGAATTCGGAAGGGAGAATGTGACGAGACCAATAGTCACATTCTTAGCAAACGACGTCGTTCTGGATGACAGTAGTACCACATCTGGGTACCAATACCATTTCAGTTCTTCGTTATCTTTCAACTGTAAGAAAGAAACCGACGTCGCTTCACCCGAAGAAAAACTCGATCTCAAGATAAGTTGTGCGAGGGCATTATGGACATTATCAAAAGGGAGTTTGTCGAACACTAAGAAGATCACCGAAACAAAAGCATTAATTTGTTTAGCAAAACTCATCCAACACGAAAACCAACAACTACAGATAAATTGCTTAATGACAGTCACCGAGTTGACTGCAGTTGCCGAGTCAAACGCCGAGTTAAGACGTCATGTGTTCAAACCGAATTTGCCAGCTGCAAGAACCCTATTGGACCAGCTTCTACGAGTCCTGAACCATGAACCCAACCCGGAGCTGGTGGTTCCAGCCATAACGACAATTGGTTCACTGGCTCGAACCTTTCCTGCTAAAGAGACTCGAATACTTGGACCTCTAGTTTCAAAGCTAGACCATGAAGTTAGTGACGTCACTAACGAAACTGTGATGACATTGACGAAATTCGTTTGCCCTGACAACTTCAACTGTGTGGAACACTCGAAGGCGATTTTGGAGTTCAATGGGGTTCCTCGTATAATGGGCTTCTTGAAAAGTAGTGATGATATCAAGATTCAAGTTCTTGGGCTTAAACTCTTGTGTTATCTTGCATTACATGTGGGTAACAGTAACGTTCTTGAAGAAGCTAGAGTGTTGAGTGTCATTGAAGGTGGTGCTCGATCTGTTTTGACTCAGTATCCCGACATGAGAGAGCTTTTCGCGAAAGCAATGCACCATCTGAATTTGTATCAACCCGGTGTTCGTACACATAATAAGCCGGCTTATGTACCATGATGTTTCATGGAGTCATTGTGCATTTTCGGAGACTTGTAAATTGTAATGATTGATGAGTGTTTGTAGGATTCCAATTTGTGATCTTTTGGATGCCTTTAAGGCTACCTACATGACATGACAGTTTGTTGGGTGCTTGGTATATAACCCTAGAAAAGCTATAAAACCTTAATCTTGAACTAGAATCATTTGTTTTTGAGTTGAGTCTTTTACTCGAACCTTAAAACAAGAAACAATAACCAATGTTCTGGTTGTGCTCACAACTTTTGCTTAGTGTCAATACTAAGTCTCAACCGAAACCCTAGACACAAGAAGCTTCTAGTTCTTTCTACAATTTCAAAATAAACTCTACATGTGTATAATGATGCCTCCTCATCCAATTCATGCACTCGGTGAACCCCTTCTAACCCTTTTGTAATGAATGTTCCATAATGAACAATATAAAGAACACACGACTCTTGGAACTTTCTAGAGACAGTTAAAGCCTTTCTTGGTGAATGTTAACACCCGGTTTTCAAGTTTAAACTTGAGGGGAAGGAAATGAAAGGAAATTGATCAGAAATTCCTTCTCAATCGTTTTTTTTAGGGAAAAAAGATTTTACTTTCCTTCCATTTCATTTCTTCCCCATCCTTCAAAAAAACTCAAAAACCCAAATTTTCTCTCTTCTCCTTTTCTTTTCCTTTCTTAAAAAAACTCAAGAATAGGGTCACCCTGACCCTTTTGTAATAAATGTTTCCTAAACCCTAACTCTAAGGCAAAAAAGAAGTGGATAATGATGTTATTCTTTCTTTGTTAAGAAAACTAAAACCAGCCTAAATGACTCTTCGTGGAGGTTCGTTTCATGTCAATTATGTCTATATAAATACATTATCTGTCTTCTTGATCTTACTCTTCTTACATCATAAACGTGTTTTGTGAATCATTTTCAGTGACGTTTTTCACTAAACAAATGTCTCTTTCGCTTTAAAGACATCTATATACAGGCGGTGAACTATCTTTTCAAGATTTCAAGATTCGACCTGTTTTAGAATCTTTTCTTATCAAACCCTTATTTGGAACAACCTCTTTTCACTTGGTAATTTGTTCAAATTCCCAAAATGGAAAACAACAAATAAATGCAGTTGCTTTCAACTGAGTTATGTTCTTCAGGTTGCCTGTTGTTATTGTCAAATACATTGCTCCTCAAACAGGTGAGTACAATTATTGAACTCCAATGTGAAAAAAAGATGATTCAAATCAAATTGGGCTCTTCAACTTACTGCAAGTTTTGACCTTTTTAATGAATAATTAAATAACAAAATGAAAGAAATAGATAAATATTTTACCCTTTATGATGCATCTTTTAACTATCCATTTAATGGCAAAACTTTAAAGTGATTCATTATTGTTCTTCAAGAGACTATAGTCTCTCAACTGTCCAGGTGAGCCCCATTATGAACTTCAAAGCCAAATTATATTTGTAATCAAATGAGTTTCGTAAAGTTTTAAAACTCCATGTTTTGGTTGTTTCTAGAAAAAATTCAAGAAATCGACATGGAACAAATTAAACATTTGGTTGATTTATAAATACACTGTAAAAATGTAGAAACTCTTTTTATTAATTTATCATACAATCATAACTTTTGAACCAAACAAAATTATAGGGTCATGCCGATGTCAGGTCCAAAGATTCTTCCTCTTTTGGGCCCTAATTTCAAAATTCAAGATTTTTATATATTTGTTTTTTTTTTATCTAATTTGTGAAATCGTAAAGAATGCTTTTACATTTTATTATGGGTGCAGAATTTCATTATTTTAAGTACAATATCTGTTTTGGTTCTGAATCATACCGAATCAGATTTGTAACTTCTGAAATTATTTTAATTTGAAAACGGAATCAAATTTGGGTTCTTTATAAGTTTGGATCAACTCAAGACTTGACTAAGCAGCTGTTTGGTAACCTATGAATGGAACCAATCAGATAACATCTCTGAATCGGTCTGACATTCAAGACGTTTGATACATCCTCTGAACAAATCAAAATCCTTAGAACTGTTTCTGAAAGGGTCCCTTACCGTTAGGTTATCAATGTGATTTACCAAAGAATCCCTTACCGTTAGGTTATCATGAGTAAGTACCAACCGTTTACCAAGGAAAAGGTTTTGATTTAGGAAGCATCTTTTTTATGTGTCATTAAGTGTTGAATTAAAGTGATTATTATTGGGTGGGCTGGCTTGTTACTTTTAAAATAGTTGAAGTATAATGAAGGGA